GAAAAAAGGACAAAACACTTTATACTATTTATATATGCACATTAAAAAAAAATATATAAATTATTTATTAATTATTAATTTTTTTTTTCTCTAAACTAAAGAAACTTTTGATCGATATTTTTCCATGCACCGGTAACTTTGTTAGCACACAAGTGTCTGTCGCTGTTCATTTATGTTTGTATATACCTCACTGGCACGCAGGCAATTACTGATGCACGTGCTTGCTGGCGTGGGCGATGTTGAGCTGCCGTGTGTGGACAGGACGTGTGACATCCCCTAATGCAAACATCACAACTAGCTGTCTCTGTTCCCCACAACACCCAGCATTGTTGTGACAGCTACCATCTGCCTGCTGTGGCATGCTGTACAAGTTATGGTTTGCAGATGTTGACGGGTGTGGGAGTGGATTTGGGGTGATGAATAGGACTATCCTCTTGTATCTGCATCTATCTTTTGTTAACGTGGGCACACACACTTAGACACACAACACCTAGTTACTTATATACCTGCTGCACAGGCCTGCGGAGACGGGCTGCAGTCGCTACCTTGTTTCAGGGCTCAAGAAGTTCAAAGGGCCCCATAAAGAGGACATCTTTTTTAAACCTGCATTTTTAAACAGGAAAATAATATTGGAGATGTGTTATATACTCTATACTTTGTGAATATACTCTACACTTTGTGTAAATACTCTATACTTTATATAGTCTATACTTTGTGTGTTATATACTCTATACTTTGTGAATATACTCTACACTTTGTCTATTATATACTCTATACTGTGTGTGTTTTATACTCTATACTTTGTGAATATACTCTAAACTTTGTGTATATACTATATACTTTGTGTGTTATACACTCTGTACATTGTATAGTCTATACTTTGTGTGTTATATACTTATATTTTGTGTGTTTTATACTCTATACTTTGTGAATATATTCTACACTTTGTCTATTATATACTGTATAATGTGTGTGTTTTATACTCTATACTTTGTGAATATACTCTACACATTGTGTATATACTCTATACTTTATGTGTTATATACTCAATACTTTGCATAGTCTATACTTTGTGTGTTATATTCTCTATACTTTGTGAAAATACTCTACACTTTGTGTATATACTATATACTTTGTGTGTTATATACTCTGTACTTTGTATAGTCTACACTTTGTGTGTTATATACTTATATTTTGTGTGTTATATACTCTGTACTTTGTGAATATACTCTACACTTTGTCTATTATATACTCTATACTGTGTGTGTTTTATACTCTATACTTTGTGAATATACACTTTGTGTATATACTCTATACTTTATGTGTTATATACTCTATACATTGTACACTCTATACTTTGTGTGTTGTATACTCTATACTTTGTAAAAAATCTCTACACTTTGTGTTTATACTCTATACTTTGTGTGTTGTATACTCTTTACTTTGTATAGTCTATACTTTGTGTGTTATATACTCTATACTTTGTGAATATACTCTACACTTTGTGTTTATACTCTATACTTTGTGTGTTATATACTCTATACTTTGTAAATATACTCTATACTTTGTGTATATACTCTATACTTTGTGTATATACTCAATAATTTGTCTTTTATGTACTCTATACTGTGTGTGTTTTATACTCTATACTTTGTGAATATACTCTATACTGTGTGTATATACTCTATACTTTGTCTATTATATACTCTACACTTTATGTATGTACAATATACTGTGTGTATATACTCTATAATTTGTGTATATACTCTATACTTTGTGTACATACCTTAAACTTTGTGTATATAGCCAAAAACCGCATTGCAGCCTTGTGTGGCCAAATCTCTTATGAGGTGCGAGACACATTAGGAAAAACAAAACAAAACTGACGTTTTGAATTCTGCATTCAAAATGGATATTAAGTTAAACGATTTTATGATGTTTAGTTTTTAAGATATGCATTTTTAAGTTTGATAGGGGTCAGGAGTTTTCCCATAAACACTCTTGATCTAACTCATCAGAAGACACAACGATTGTTGGATGAGAGACTATCGTCATCTCCGAAACAGGGAATTAGTTTAAGTAGCAATCATGAACACCTTCAAGTTAGTCTTGTTTCAGCACTTAACAATAATTCAGCGACCTGATAAGGTGCACATAATATTTACTACTTCTACCGTCACAACAAACTGTAAAATCAACAAACAAAGGACTTTGTTCATTTCATTATTTAATTGGAAACATGCTGCCAGATACATGACTTTATAAACCAATGGGTATTCGATGTTTAATGTGGTCATTACCCCCACTGCCTACGTTTTCTTCCTCGGAAGTTTCCTTTTTCCAATTTATAACTGAATAGACTTGGCAGTCAAGATCAATTAAGTAAAAAAAAAAAGTCTACTTGGATGCGGACTCGACATTCAGGTCATCAGTCAAGCGTCTATCCACTGTGCCACGACACGCTTCGCTTAATATTGTGAAGAATATATCTACAGGGTTTCACGCAAATGTCCATGCATGTGGGGGTGGGGGGGTGGGGGGTGGGGGGGGGATATATCGCTAACGCTATTACAACTCCAGCTGGGTTTGACGCCTTCTTCAGCATTGGAGCAGTGTGTTTTGGAAACATTAATGGTCACGTAGACCATATTATAACAATAAAAATGGGGTTCATAAAAAACTGAATATTTTTCCAATGAATGGAAACTTAAAGAGAACGCTGTGAAAATACTCAAGTGGGTTTTATAGATCGTAGAATAACGCCTCTTTTTCAGACATAATTATAAAGGTACTATAATAAGAAACGGTTTTTGTGAAATTACCAAACTCATATAGAGCCACCATACATTGCAGGCCGTTTTAGTCATCACTGTTGCCCCTGTTAATTAATTTATCTTGGTTTTTACTCCTGCAGGTGCGGCGACCCGGCACAACGTACGTGTGCAAGATGCCAGCGCCTGAACAAACTTATGTAGTCTCCAGGAATATTTTCTGCACTGCTGTATGTACATCGACCTGAAGGTATTCGATAATTAGCTCTGAGGGTTGCGAAGTACATCGACACGTCGACACGATTACAGATCTCAAGTGTGCAGGATTTAGAACGTACCAGACGCAACTTGGACTTGCTTCTGTTGTGGAGCAGCTGAATCCTCTCGAACTAGTTTATCAGAAAAAAAAAAAAAAAAAACTGCTGTTGTTCGGAAAAGAGCGGCTCTACAACTATTGATTATTAATGTTGCTATAAAAACAGCCTTTTAGTAGTAGTGTTTGTACGTGAGTTTTCGTACGTCCATCATAACCATCAACTTCTAGGTTTGCCTTGAGGCGGCGTCGGAAGTAACCGTTTGCAATCCCGCGCTTGACGTGCGGCAATCGATTCAATGTCAGTTATTTTGAAAAACACGAAATTCAAAACAGCAGTATATATCGAATCGAAAGTCACCTCGGCTTAGATTGCATGTTCTCGAGAAGCTACTCCAGCCAATTATTAACATATCTTTTGATCTGTTATTGGCAAACTTTGTAATCACTTAATAGCAGTTTGCTTTGATCATTTATTCACGAAGGATTGCATCAACTATTGACAATCTTGTGAATGCTCAAAAATATCACCAACTATAGTATACACTGAGAACTCGTGTATGATCGTATATATTGACGTGTTTAACATCTCAGGTTCGTTCAGTAATCTTAATACTGACAACTCATGTGTGCACATTTATCCTATAGTTTGAAATTTTAACTTTGATCGGTAATCGTAACACTTGACAACTTATTTACGATCATTTATTTTAAATGTTGGAATATAAACTGTGATCGATAATCCTAATATTGAAAACTCAGCTTTCATAAGTCATCATATAACCAGTAACCAACGTTATCTTTCACAATGTAACTTGGGTCCACTTGTAAGGACAATGTTATGGAGAAAACCCATACGATGTTAGTTTTGACAAGATTGCATCATGTAGTTTGTTAATCTTCACTTTAATGTGTCATCATTAACAACGGCAATGGCAACAACAACAACAGCAGCAACAACAAAATACAACCCATAACTTTGAAACTTTCATGTGGTAAATTAATTGTTAAATAAGTATGCAGGCATAATGTGGCGTTTTCAACACAAGCCTGTGATTATTGATGCCAAACAAAGCCGTCTAAATATCTTAAATGTGAAAGTCTTTACTGTGTAAAACTCATGCCGTCTTAAATGTGAAAGTCTTTACTGTGTAAAACGCATGCCGTCTATCTTAAATGTGAAAGTCTTTACTGTGTAAAACTCATGCCGTCTATCTTAAATGTGAAAGTCTTCGCTGTGTAAAACACATGCCGTCTTAAATGTGAAAGTCTTCACTGTGTAAAACACATGCCGTCTACTCAGGGTGAGCACACCCGGGGAGTGCCTGCGGGGAAACACGCTCAACAAAGGTCACATAGACCAGGAGCCGAACCGGCACCAGCATTGCTAACCAGCATTCCCGTGTCAGTTGTGTATGTCAAGACATAGTAGGTACTTAAGAGGGATAGTTCACAGGTCACTGGCCGGCACTAGCAGTCAGGGAGGTGTACACTTGAGTGAAGTGTTTCCTGGGGATTCCACACGGGTTTGTCCGCTGCAAGGATCGTTCCACTACCTGGGGTGTATACACTGGGAGCACAAACAGCCTTGTCAGGCAGATCTGGGAGAACGTGTGAGAATCAACTCTCCTCTATCTTCTTCAGGCTAATTACTTGATCTCTGGCTGCGGCTTTCAACACGCTGGAAGAAACCATGTAGGCGCTTCAGGCAGATTTTCCTTGGAACTTATAAATGACAACGTGATAACAAAGTATTATCCACCTTCTACATGAGTAAAAAGCAGTAAAATGTGCCATGAAAGCCATATATTTTCGGTAAAAGGTTTTACATATCCTCTGGTTTATTGTGTATAAAGTGGTATTTTGTGCTTTCATATAACTAATAATGGAAACAACTTTGAACCGGTAGTGTAACCATGAGGAGACAACTCCGCCGATGGACCAAGTCGTTCTTGTGCGCATTACCTGCCTTCGCATTCATCTTAATGACGATATTCTACAATGGATTCTTTATTGCAACCATTAATTTCGGCGGAAGCTCGAACGAAGACAGCATGAGAAACAGCAACAAAGGTTTCCGAAAGCTTCTAGAGGACGGGCACTTGCCTCCGGGGAGAGATCGCTACAACTCAAGCTCGTTGGCTCATCGTTTGCCTCAGTGCATCATTATCGGAGCAAGAAAGTGTGGCACTCGAGCTCTTATTGAATTTCTCAAACTTCATCCTCAGATTATTTCTCCCAATGACGAGATGCATTTTTTCAGCAATGACACAAATTACAAGCTTGGCTTCGAGTGGTACCGCAAGAAAATGCCGCTATCCTACCCCGATCAAATCACCATAGAAAAGACTCCGAAATATTTCATCTCTGTCATTAGTCCTAGCAGAATCCATCGAATGAACAGTTCCATTAAACTGATCGCAATCCTGCGACACCCAACCACCCGAGTCATCTCTGATTATACACAGATCTGCGCCAACAAGCAATCCAAGAACGAGACAGCTGAACCATTTGAGCTTCGAGCACTGGACAAACAAACCGGGCACATCAACCCTGTCTACAAAGCCACACAAATCAGCATGTACCACCTTCACATCTCTCGCTGGCTGCAGCTGTTCCCTCTAAACCAGCTGCATATCGTCGATGGTGACAACCTCATACTAAACCCTCTAGAAGAAATCCGAAAGATCGAACAGTTTCTCAATCTACCTCACCTCGTGAACCCAGACAGCTTCTACTACAACAGCACCCGAGGCTTCTACTGTATGAGAAAGACTAAGACCGGGCCTGAGCAATGCCTGGGAGCCAATAAGGGTAGAAAGCACGTGAACCTCAGTAAAAAGGTCATTACTAAACTGAACAAATTTTTCAAGCCACACAACGAACAGTTGTACAAACTTATCGGCCGACGGTTCCCATGGAGATGACCCCAGGGGTTGCTTTTGTAATATCAAACTGTTCCAAATTTAAAATGAGAAAACAATTCCAGGGTTCGGGGGAAATCCAGGCGTCACTCTATCCTCGCGCGCACGCGTGTGTGTCAGTGTATATATATATATATATATATATATATATATATATATATATATATATATATATATATATGTGTGTGTGTGTGTGTGTGTGTGTGTGTGTGTGTGAAAGGGGAACGAGGAGGGGGGGGGGCACTGAGGTAGTGCGTGCGCGCAGTAACGAAGATATCACTGTAATATATTTCACGCCCAGACTGAAACCTGGAATGTGTCGTGAAACATTTTCATCATCGTCATAATTATCATCAATATTATATTGATACCTGTATGTTCTTTCTGGTATGTTGGAATACCTCTTCTGACCACTAGATCAGTGCCATTCAACGTGACGGCCTCGACCCACAGGTGGCGCACAGTAAAGTCCCGGTGGGTGGCTAACAAGGTTTGTTTAATCATGTCATTATGAAGGGAATGTGGTGTTTCGCTTCCAGTTTGTAGGATCAGCACCGCAAGGACTTCCTGTCTGTGTGAAAAGACTAAAAAAGGCGGAAAAATCCAATGGCTGTTATTGTATCAGAAACAACGATCCAGCCATATCTGTCACATTTGTTAACCTCTAAGCAGCAGCCCAGTCTCTCAGAAATATACAATATTGTTTGGTCACGTGATGGGAAGGAGAAAACTGGAGTACATCGTAATGGTGGGAAAGTTGGAGGGAAGGACAGGCAGAGAGAGAAAGAGAGAGAGAGAGAGAGAGAGAGAGAGAGAGAGAGAGAGAGAGAGAGAGAGAGAGAGAGAGAGAGAGACCGAGAGAACAGATGCTGGACAGTTTGACATCATGGCATGGAGGATCATCTGTGTCAGAGTTAATTGAAAGTACACGAGACAGAAGGTTGTGGATAGACATGACTACCAGCGCTATAAGGCGTTTATGTTTGTTTCATGTTTAGTTATCTGTCAGGTGGGTCCCCAGAATGTCTACTGTTTTGGTGGACCAGGGGTCTGAACAGATGAGAAACCCAGCCTTATATTTCCCTTGGCTAATGTACGAAACACGACTTTCTATCTGTTTTCGGTACATGTAACGTTAGTCTCCCCAGATCCCGCGCATATACACACTAGCTCACTTCTGATTGGTAGTTCCTGAACCTGTTACCTTGGCACAAGGTTACTGGGGTGTTCCGCAATGCCGTTGATATCGTGTGTTGTATATTTCATTACGCCAACGCTTTTAACACTCCAAAAACACGGAGAAACGGGCCCTAACACAAATACCTTAGAGAGTGCTGCAACCTATGTCACAGGCATTTGTTTTCTCGGAATGGAAACGTAAATGCAAGACAACGCATAAAGAAAACAGCGGAGCGGGACACACCCGTAACCTTGAGAACAGTGACCCAGCCCACCAAACTTGTGAATAAGAGGTGACCTTCTCCAAATGGGGAGATTATCGTTACTTTAACCCTGTTTTTTTTTTTTTGCAGCCAGCAAACCACACACCTTTATTTGTGACTGTAGTTTAGACACGGGGAAAGTCTAACTCTGCACCGGCTGTAGTGAATACAGTGAATCTGTTACCCTGAGGATTTAGGTCCGTAAGGCCAGTGTTCTTGCCACGAACTGTGCAGGTTAGGATTTTATTTGTGCTGTCACGCGAGGCCAGCTTCTCCTTCCTCCTTTTTGTGGGTTTCATGGAGTCAGGTTTAGGGGTGGGGTTGGGTCTTGGGGGGGGGGGGTGGGGGGGGGGTGAGGCATTGACAGAAGAGGCCCACTTGAGAAGCATGTTATCAAAGGCGACTCATTAAGGAATTCGAACCTGTATCTCACGCCTGAGGGTCAAGTGTTCTTAATAACCGTTATTTATAACCGAAACGTCATGTGAACTAATCAGGGTAAGCAAAGGATATGCGATTTTTTTTTTTAATTTTGTAAAATAAACTGTGCTTTTAATATATAAATAATTCACCCTATGAATTAAACCCGTTCTGCTTGAGTTAGAGGCAGACGGACACTGTTTCTATGACCGGGTGTCTCACTTTGTCTGTATCCGTGTCTAATTCTGCATTTCGTTTATATATTAATAAATAACTATATTCACATGGGGTAATTTACTGTACTTTTGTTTGTGTTACGGGCTAAGTGTTGTAATCATTGTCTGTGTCGACAGAAAATGCAGATAGTACCAACGCCAGAATTTAGAAGAAAACAACACGTGCAATGGTTCGGATATACATCGCGATTGCCAACAGACTGTGTACAGACGCGAACATTGGTGTATAAACCAAGGGGGATTCTAGAGAGACGCCGAACATGCAAACGAGTGGCAGAGGGATTCACACAGTTTCATGGCACGCCGCCACGGAGAAAACATGGGAACAAGGAAAAAAAAAAGGGGGGGGGGAATTATTGGCTTCCCCACGAGGCAATTAAAACAGGATGATAAACAAATTAACATGCACTTATTGATACTCATTGGTTTATGTTAACCTTTAGACGACAGATCAACATCATGGCACTAGTGTAGAAACCTATAAGTGCTCCGTTCTACTGCTGACTTAACCCTGAGTCCAACAAATCTCAGGGCTCTGCACGAACTCCGTAACACGGGCGAGGATCCTGAAATACGTTTTGCAGATTTTTAACACCAAATTTTCCCGGGCAGCGCAGTTACTCCAAAGCAAGTGTCATTACTGCCTCGGTCTATCTACCACCAACACTGGAACGTAGACATAATTCTGATCTAACCATTGGAATAGCATAGTCTGTTACATAATTATATGTTGACTAAAAGGATCCTTTTCTGTGCCTTCAGGCATATAGATATGTAGGTAGTTGTACCCCACCAGGACATCACACAAGCGATAAACACCCGGTGACACAAAGTGCCACCATGCGGATGGGGATCACTTGTGGAGGGGTCCCAGAAACCCCTTTCAGCCTTTAGGCCATATCTATGGCTACGCCATATTTATGACCTGGCTACATTCAGGGCCCCCGGCAGAAGCCCAGGGTGGGGCTTCAGGCATATAGTGCTTTATAGACCCAGTCGGTACTTGATGGGTAATGTAGTCAACATGACGCCAGCCGCATTTACTTCCCAGGACTTTGTTTGGTACCCGTTTAAGGCAAGGTCGACATGGAAGCTATGGTCATTTTTGAAAAAAAGTTTAGTTTTCACTGGGACCTCAACCCACCGTGACCTTCAGATCCGCAGGCTAGCGTCCAGCGGTTGCAACACGGCTGCTCCTTGTGTTAAACCAATGGAAGGTGAAATCACGAACTCAAAACATGTTGGCCGTAATCAAGGGAAACTATCATAAAAATATATTTTTAAAAATGATAAATTCAATTGTGTCCCTTGAAGTCTTTGTGATTCTGTGACGAAAATTGTGGAAATGAGCAAGTAGAAAGATATCACACGAGGAACGTAGATCGGCGGTCGCGAATATTGAAACACACCAGATTTCTATTTATAATTTGAAATAAAGACGTGTGTACATTTGTGCTGGAGAGACGGGGCACATATTCACCCCCACCCCCCCCCCCCCCAACTAGAAAACTATTTCGGCAACATAAATGACGGTATTTCTTCTTCTCTGCTTCTTCTGCTTCTTCTGCTTCTTCTGCTGCTTCTGCTTCTGCTTCTTCTTCTGCTTCTTCTTCTGCTTCTTCTGCTTCTTCTTCTTCTTCTTCTTCTTCTTCTTCTTCTTCTTCTTCTTCTTCTTCTTCTGCTTCTTCTTCTTCTGCTTCTTCTGCTTCTTCTGCTTCTTCTTCTTCTTCTTCTTCTTCTTCTTCTTCTTCTTCTTCTTCTTCTTCTTCTTCTTCTTCTTCTTCTTCTTCTTCTTCTTCTTCTTCTTCTTCTTCTTCTTCTTCTTCTTCTTCTTCTTCTTCTTCTTCTGCTTCTTCTTCTGCTTCTTCTTCTTCTTCTTCTTCTTCTTCTGCTTCTTCCTCTTCTTCTTCTGCTTCTTCTGCTTCTTCTGCTTCTTCTGCTTCTTTTTCTTCTGCTTCTTCTTCTTCTTCTTCTTCTGCTTCTTCTGCTTCTTCTTCTTCTTCTTCTTCTGCTTCTTCTTCTTCTTCTGCTTCTTCTTCTTCTTCTGCTTCTTCTGCTTCTTCTTCTTCTTCTTCTTCTTCTTCTTCTTCTTCTTCTTCTTCTTCTTCTTCTTCTTCTTCTTCTTCTTCTTCTTCTTCTTCTTCTTCTTCTTCTTCTTCTTCTTCTTCTTCTTCTTCTTCTTCTTCTTCTTCTTCTTCTTCTTCTTCTTCTTCTTCTTCTGCTTCTTCTGCTTCTTCTGCTTCTTCTTCTTCTTCTTCTTCTTCTTCTTCTTCTTCTTCTTCTTCTTCTTCTTCTTCTTCTTCTTCTTCTTCCTTCTTCTTCTTTTCTTCTTCTTCTTCTTCTTCTTCTTCTTCTTCTTCTTCTTCTTCTTCTTCTTCTTCTTCTTCTTCTTCTTCTTCTTCTGCTTCTTCTGCTTCACGATCATCATCTCATATGAAAACGGGTCATCCCCTTGTGGGATGCAATGTTTCGTTATTTCGAAGCCCTACTCTGGCTCTTGCCATGGGCCGCAAAATAGCCCGGCCATACATATCGTCTAATGGCTGAACGCAGTTTTTTTGGAACCTATCCACGGGTGATCCTCATCCACATGGTGGCACTTTGTGTCATCGGGTGTTTATCGCTTGTGTGATGTCCTAGTGGGGTAAAATGTACTACTACTTAATAAAACAGTACTGATTGATATTGGAATTCATAATTTTTAATTTAAAATTAGTTTTAATTTCTTTTAACCGCCACCAATTTCCTTGATTTAGGCTGCTCTTGCATTTTGTATGTGTGTACTTCTGTTGTAATATTTATGCGAGCATGACTTTGTGTGAAAACATTCCCCAAAGAGTGAACAGACAGGTATATAATTAGGTTTTGAAATTTCAGCCAAAGATGTCCCAGTAAATATTGACAG